CCAGCGCCCACAAGCCGTGTCTTTATTTTATAGCAGATGCCACAAGACAAAGTAATGACATTATGTAGTTTAAGCATGATTGTTTGTAGTTAAAGAGATTAATTACCCACCTGGCACTTAGTGAAGGGGTTTTATTCCATCCCTAACTTCAGGGGAAAATCTCTACCTGGGGAAACAACCTTTCTCGGAGAGGTGACCTTGGTTAAAACACATAATGCCAAGAAGGTGAGTAAACATATTAAGAACAGTATGCCATATATGCCAGGTCCCTTGAAACAGCAAGGATGGACCGGCTCCCGGCACATGTATGAGAATTTTCTTTTATGTTGGACTCTGTTCTTAGGGTAATTCCCATATTTTTGGGTTTGAAGATATAAACATCACTTACATATTCCACTCCCTCAAAAAAATATAAAAGATATAGCAGAAGGGTGATTTCCCAGCCTTAAGGATCTTAGGACTCCAAAGAATACTGGTGGACTAAATTGCTGTGTTAAGATGGACAGCCAAATAAACAGAAATTATGTGCATAATCTTAGAGCAAAGAATGTAGTAAATAATCACTAAAAAATTAATCACAGGCTAAATGGTTTTATACAAGTGGCACATTATAGATGAACTAAAACATTCAGTGACATGAATTCCTAAAACCAATGGGAATTCTTCCTTCTTCCTTCCTTTCTCTTCTTTTTTCCAATATATTTTTATTGATTTCAGAGAGGAAGGGAGAGGGAGAGAGAGACAGAAACATCAATGATGAGAGAATCATCCTTTGGCTGCCTCCTGCACGCCCCTCACTGGGGTTGGAGCCCACAACCCGGGCATGTGCCCCTGACCAGAATGGAACCCGGGACTTCAGTCCGCAGGCGGATGCACTATCCACTGAGCCGAACCGGCCATGACAGGAATTCTTTCTTTTGACCCTGACAGTCATGAGGAAGTTCCACAGAGTAATGAGAGACTCACCTGCCAGAGCAGAGGGTGCTGATCAACTGCTTCCTACATTCTTCCCCGCTCAGTTCATCTAGAAATGCAAATACACTGAGAATGAATTTGATGACGCGAATAGAGAAAAGCCACTAACGTGGGAAGAAACTTACCTTTTCCACACGCCACACTGCCCTTTTTGGTACCAAGGGCCGTGAGAATGATGGGTAATAACTCCAAAGACTTTCCATTCGTTAGGCTGCCCTCTTTGATTGCACCAATAAACTCATTGGCTAATTCAACCAACGATGGTCCTGGGAAACAGTGGACCTAAGTGTTCATGGGATTAAAAAAAAAAAAAAAATTGAACAGAAACCCAAATGTTTGCTATCTCTTTCCAAGAAACAGAGTCTTTTGCTGAATTAATCGAATTGGCAATGAGACCAGAACTGGTCCTATCAGGGACTCGGGCATCCTTTTTCTCTGGTACAAGCTTGTCATTATAAAGGATTGCACTAGCCGGTTTGTCTCAGTGGATACAGCGTCAGCCTGCAGACTGAAGGGTCTTGATTCTGGTCAAGATCACATACCTGGGTTGTGGGCTTGATCCCCAATAGGGGGCGTGCAGGAGGCAACCAATCAATGATTCTCTCTCATCACTGATGTTTTATCTCTCCCTCTCCCTCTCTGAAATCAATAAAAAATATATACTTAAGTCAAAAAAAGAAGAATCTCCTTTAAAAAACCCCCACAAAAACTATTTTTGGGGAAGTGCATCCCTGCGATCCATGATTCTCTCTCATCGTGGATGTTTCTCTCTCTCTCTCTTTCTCTCTCTCTCTCTCTCTCTCTCTCTCCCCCCCTCTTCCTCTCTAAAATCAAAAAAAATATATTTAAAAAAAAAGGACTGCAAAGGTCAGAATCCTCCACCAGTTCCCTATGTTTTCAAATATGCCAGCTCTTCAAAGATACACGTCCAGGACACCAGAAACGTAACAGAACCACCTACATGGTTTATGGCCATCCATCAACTATTTCGCCTTTTAATAGCTCCCATTCATAAACAGGACCTGTGCTAGGTTTGGCACGTCTGTTTTCCCTCCCTCAACAAATTACAACAAAGCTCCCCCCCACCCCCCAAAATCTACCCCAAACCAAAAGTGTGTTTGCTTTCCAGCTCACCTCCAGCATCAGCAATCCGATGATCTCAGAGGCTATTTCTTTCTGCAAGTCCCCTGACTCCACCAGCTGGGTGCAGCAGGTGTAGATCTTGCGTCTCCTAAGAGCTCCGGCTTCCTCAGAGCAGGGGGAGCCTTGTTTTAAAAAGGTGTACAGAAACAACAGGACAAGTCTTACAAGGTTGAAGGGTAAGTAAATAGGAAAAAAATCATACAGTTTTGTAGTTTAATAAAGAAAAAGCATGATCAAAATACTGATGACTGTGGTGTTTAAAAGTTTTGAAAAAGTAACTTAGGCAGTTGGCTGAAAATGTCATCTTTTCTTCTTCCACCTACGTCATTAATTTTTAAGAAGAATTAAAAACTACTGGACACTTTTTTGGGTCCATAACCCAAATTAAATGTCCTTAACATCCTTCAAAATATCAGCACTGGGTGATGTCCGAGTAATACAGATCTTGGAAGATTCTTTCCTCCAGAAAAGCAAAAAGAGAACACTGACAAAAACCGTGAAAAACAGCTTGTTCAGAACTCTGGGAATTAAGCAGAGACGTCTAACCATCCAGGGAGTATTTAAGAAAAACAGCAGACTCTCAGGGAGAACAGTGAGGTTGGCATTTAACATCCACTCATCCCACCCCCTGCCTTCCGCTAGCTCAGGAGTCGTTACAAGCCAATAGCCCCAGCCAGGCTGGCGTGGCTCAGTGGCTGGGCATCGACCTATGAACCAGGAGGTCACAGTTCGATTCCTGGTCAGGACACATGCCTGGGTTTCGGGCTCAATCTCCAGGATGGGGCGTGCCAGAGTCAGCCGATCAATGATTCTCTCTCATCATTGATGTTTCTCTCTCTCTCTCCCTCTCCCTTCCACTATGAAATCAGTAAAAATATATTTTTAAAAAATTTAAAGCCAGCAGCCCCTGGAGGTGATAGTGAAGGGGTAGAGAGTTTCTGTTCAGGACTATAAAAATGCTCTAAAATGCATTGTGGTGATGGTCGTGCAACTCTGTGACTATACTAAAAGCCACTGAATTGCACATTTTAAATGGATAAATTGTATGACATGTCAATTATATCTCAATTTAAAAAAAACTGTACACTTTTAAAGGGTGAATTTTCTAGTATGTGGAATATATCCCAATTTTTTAAAATGTCGTCTTAACCACTACCGGTCTTTTATACAATCAATGAATTAAAATGATTAGGAGGTAGTTTCCACAAGTACTCCATAACTCATGCTACTTTTAAACCAGGCTTTCCAAGTCTGTATTTTTAAATAAGATGAAAATAGGTGGGAGCCATAATAATCTTCCCCAGGTTTATCTGTCCAGGAAAAAAATTACTCTTCTTTCTTTCACCTAACCTCCTTTTCTTGGATATTTCTACAAAATAGTCATTTAGCAAATTTCTATAAAGGTCAACTCAACCAATCTTGAAAATTTTTTCATGCACAGGAAGATGTATATTTATTTATTTACTAGAGGCCTGGTGCACGAAATTCATGCAAGAGTAGGCCTTCCTTCCCCTGGCTGCTGGCAATGGCTTCCCTCTGGCACCCGGGACCCGGGCTGGCTTCCCTTGCAGCCCCAGCTTAGTCTGGGAGGACTTCCAGTCTAATTATCATATTATGCTTTTATTATTATAGATTTATTTATTCATAGTCTCTATGTCATTTATTTCCCCTCAAATTAGACTGTAGAATCTTGATGGCAAATATAAAATTCTTTTTTTTTCTTTTTCTTTTTATAAACTCACCCGAGGATACTTTCCCATTGATTTTTAGAGTGGAAGGGGGGAGAAACAGAAACATCGATCTAAGAGAGACACATCAATTGGTTGCCTCCTGCACTTGCCCTGACTAGGGCCAATGATCGAGCCTGCAACCAAGGTACCTGCCCTGGACTAGAATCGAACCCATGACCCTTCAGTCTGTGGGCCGACTCTATCCACTGAGCCAAATCAGCCAGGGCAGGAAAATGTGTTTTTAGACCCTTGAAAACTAAACGAAGTTAAAATGCACTGCTAAGAGTATAAAGCCACTTTTTTATTTTTTGCCTTGTAGCATGTTATTCTACCACAATCTTTTTTTTTTTTTTAATATATTTTATTTTTTACAGAGAGGAAGGGAGAGAGATAGAAAGTTAGAAACATCGATGAGAGAGAGACATCGATCAGCTGCCTCCTGCACATCCCCTACTGGGGATGTGCCCGCAACCCAGGTACATGCCCTTGACCGGAATCGAACCTGGGACCTTTCAGTCCGCAGGCCGAAGCTCTATCCACTGAGCCAAACCGGTTTCGGCTCTACCACAATCTTAAAAATCACTCTGAGTCACGATCTGCAAAAAAAAATGTAGAACTGGTCCTTTTTCAAAATATGGAAACAAATATACCCCACTGGAAATGAAGAATCTCTATATCCCATTTCATTAAATCCCACAACTCTTAGCCCCTTAGGCAGACCAGGCACTAACCACTGCTACTGTCTTCTCCACCATTTGAAAAGCACAAGGAGCCCTAACCGGTGTGGCTCAGTGGATAGAGTGTCGGCCTGTGGACGGAAGGGTCCCAGGTTCGATTCAGGTCACGGGCATGTACCTTGGTTGCGGGCACATCCCCAGTAGGGGGTGTGCAGGAGGCAGCTGGTCGATGTTTCTCTCTCGTCAGTGTTTCTAACTCTCTATCCCTCTCCCTTCCTCTCTGTAAAAAATCAATAAAAAATATCTTTAAAAAAAGAAAAGCAAAAGGAAACCAAAGCTGATTTAATGAAATACATCCTTTATAGGCCCCCAAACCAGCCATCTCACCTCAGGCAGCCACTGCAAACCCCTCCAGTAATATTATTCAAACCCACAAGACAAGAGACTTGCTGCTTTAGTTGATTCTGTAAAGTCTCCCAGACACACAGCCAAGTCTCAGTGGGGCTGCAAAC